CTAAACAGAAATATAGGTAAGAGAAAAGGGAGGGAGGGAGGAAAAGAAGAAAGGGAAAGAGAAGGAAAGGAGGGAGGGGAAGGGGAGGGGAAGGAACGGGGGAAGGAGGGGAGGGGCAAAGGAAGGAAGAAAGGGCCTAACCTCTTGCAGGGCAAGTAGGATTGAAGAAGGTTTCCCTGGGAGGTGGGGACAGCAAAATGCAAATTAGTGCATTACTTATCTCCGGTTTAATCTTGTTTCCAGAATAAGGCAATGCCTTCTGTTGCGGTTTAAAGGCAGAGAATATTTGAGCTGAGACTAAACAGGATTCATCCTTCAAGCCTGCTTCCATTTTGACTCTTGACCAGCAGGAAAGTGATAATGGCTTGCCCGGCTCTCAAACTGTCAATACTTGAGCTTTGCTGTGGTGAACCTGGGCCCCAGAGAAAGAACTGGACTCCGGGGAATCTACCAGGAACCCAAATCCAATTTAGTGGGGGGGGGGGGAGGGACTGCAGCAAGCAGGTGACAAAGGCGTTTTTGAGGAATAAGAGAGCCACGACATTAGCCTGCAAGGCAGCTCCAGGCCAAGTGGGTTGGTTATATGTGCTCTGAAGGACAGAAATTTAAAACCCAGAGCAGAGCCAAAGGGGAATGTAAGAAAGGGCAGAGAAATAAAAAATAAATTTTAAAAATGAAAAAGAGGAATAAGTATCCAGACCTGAAGCAGTATAACAACGATAATACCATTTGAAAGGCCTGGAAAAATAAGACTTCGGCCTAGATCAGGAGACGGATAGCGAGGGAGGGAAAGTCCTTTCCTGAGAATTCTGCAAAGCTTCTGCAGGGATTCTTATTCCGTAAGTCAACTGTATGTGCTCCAATTACTACTTCTACATAACCTTGTTAATGGTACAAGTTCCCTGTTGAAATGAGGGATCCAGAAATCAGGAGGAGTCTGGTAGCACCTTTCTCGGCTAACCAATTTTATGACAGTAAAAGGGAGAAGCTTTTGCGAGCTACAGCTCCCTCCTTCAGATGCCCAGACTGACTAAACCGATGCAGACAGAAGGCGTTGCCTTGTTCTGAAAATGCAGTTAAGCCAGAGATCAGCAATACGCTAATTTGTGTTTTATTGCCTTTACCTTCCTTGGGAAACCTTTGCTTCACATATGTACGGGAAAGAGGTGGGCTCAGTCTACTAGAAAAAGCCAAGGAATAGCCGAGAGAAGGAATTAAAAACAAAACCCCAGTCTGTCAGGGAACAGGATTCAGCTCGAGGAGGAGGAGGAGGAGGAGGAGGAGGAGGAAGAAAGAATTGCAACCATTAAGGGACCCCAAGTGATCTGTCAGCATGATTATGGAAGAACTGATAGGAATTGCAGACTAATGGGTGGAAAGATTGCAGCCAGCTAATCTGTGCAGGCAGGTAACTTCGATGCTGCAGAACAATTCTGTACAGCTTAGAGAGGCTTCTGGCAGCGGCAGGCAATGCATTAAACTGAGGGAACTAAAGACACTTATTTATTTATTTGCAAGGCTTATATGCCACTCCTACAAAGCCACCTCCGCAGCTTCAATTATCTATTTCCTCAACAGCCACGTTGAAAACCTCCATGGGAATTCGCTATTCTGTACTTTTTCCGTTTTGCAAGAAGATACCGATGAGGGTTTATCAACAGAGCCGCAGCATTTGTGTCAATGGTAGATATGCAGTTTCTGGAACTCGTGCAGATTCAGAGGATCCTTTGTTTCTGAGGTCCATACAGTAGGCAGGATCTAATTGCCGAGAGAGAGAGGGACTTTTATGGTAGAAAAAACATGTCGAGGACAAGCATCTTTTTTGTTCACTTCCTTTCTGTCCAACAGCTCGCAGATGTCTGCGGATGGGTAAAAACAGCTTCTGGAAGAGGGGGTGAATGGACAGGCAATACTTGTGGGTTTTTTCCTCACTCAAGACACAAATGACCAGGTTCAAGCTATCATGTTTTGGACACTTTATGCAAAGACTCAGCTTCCCATAAAACTGGTATAGGTGGAGGAAAAGAGAAGAAGATTGAGTCCATTACATTGGTGGTGAAAATACCTTTGGAAGACCTGAAGGACTAGCTTGGGGACAGACGGTCCTAGAGAAGGTCTGTCCTTGTGGTTGCTAAGAGTCCATACCAACATGATAGCACAAAATCAACTTGCAGTTTCAAGCTGACTGTCAATCCTAGAGTCTTCTCATCATGCATTTTCTTCAGTTCTCTTTTCTAATCGGCTGCACCCAACTAGACACAGACTTGTGTATTCTTGCTGGAGATGGATGGATGGATACAACCCTTTGTCGGATTCAGATGTGGAGCCAGAAAATGAGATTCATTGTTAAACATTTAAAGAAGACTTTGGTTTGCCATAGTCGCTGTGGCCCCACCTTTCTTCTCTTAATGTCTCAGTATAAATGTAGCGTATATCCAAATAAACATAATTACAGCAATTATTATTTTGCTCCACATCTCAAGAAAACCACCCTTTCCTTTTTGTGTGGGAGAGGGAGACCCAAATGCTTTCTTCCTACTCAGCCTCTGCTAACTGTGCTTTGCATTCTACATCTGCCATTTTCTAATAATAGGTAGATCTCAATACCCTCTCAGGTAGCCTTGGAGGGTGGATAGGTCTCCAGTTTGTTTCCCAAGGTAAAGGTGTGGTCAAGAAGGTCTCTTCCTACAGTTGAAGATACTGAGCAGGGGGACATTCTTCCCCAGTCTCCTACCCCACTCCCACAGATTCCATCCTTGTTGATCCAATTTGTGGCCCCCAAATAACAAAGAAACTCCTCTGCCACCAGCTGACTCTAGAGTTACCACTTAAGGCTCAAAGGTCTCCTTTGCTCTTTTGATAGGCTGGTGGCAACTCCTCACCCAGTACAAGGGCCTGTGTGTGCCATCAGCATGCCTGCAGCTTTGTGCAGTCCCTTTGGGGAGAATGTTCAAGAAGGTGTGGCCTGGCCGTGTCGAAGGAATATCTAGGGTTGCCTGCAAGATCCCTGCCTGGGTGGAATACTTTGGCCTGGCTGTGCAAACCCTGCAGCTGAGCTCCCACCTAGCAGGTGCTGCTGGCTCCTCGGCGTGCTAAGTGGGAAAGGGACCATTCAGGGAATCGGAATAGGTCAAGGAAGCGGGTGAAAGAGGGCCCAGAGAAAAGATGCTCTTGCTCTTCAGCTGCAGGCGTAGCTTGCTTATTCCCTGCTAGAACTCTTGAGATGTTCCAAGGTGAGCCCTCCCGTTAATATCCTCAGGTTTCCCCTTCTTTCTGCTTTTATGGGGCAGGAAGACGGGAAGAAAACAGGTCTTTATTCATGCAGGGATAAAACAAATAAAAACAATAAATCTCAGGTCGGTGGATTTCACCCTCTGGGTTGCCTCATGCAGATTCAAGGGTGGGGTGGTGGGAATGGCTCTGCTTTGTCTTCAGCAGTCTTCCTCCATGTTCTTCCTTCTCTATTTTTACAGCAGTCCTGTTACCTTGGAAGCCCTGGTCGTCGTCGTCTTCTTCTTCTTCTTCTTCTTCTTCTTCTTCTTCTTCTTCTTCTTCTTCTTCTTCTTCTTCCAATCCAGTAATGTAACCGCTAATCCAATTGGAAAAGAAGATTGGAAACAGCCCTCCAAGGCAAAATGGGCAGCTTTAAAAGCCCTCTCCCGTTGTCAGTAAATTGAAATATATTGCTGGGGGACATAGCAGATTGTTTCCAAGCGCCATATGGGGAATGCACCTGGTACTCCCCCCTCCCCCCCTTCACAGCAGCTCCTTTAGCTTTTGCTCCCAAGGCGGAGGAGCCCTGACCAGTCATTGACTAAATGTAGGCCAGTTCTGCACTAAAGTAATCGGAGGAGGGTGGGGCTGCTCCCCAGCCTCCCCTTTGCCACCTCTGCCTCTCTCCTCCAACCAGCTGCAACGAATGTGGGTTTTCTAGCATAGGTCGGCAGCTCCTTTTCAAAGGCGTCTGCCTGATTCAGCTGCCTGAGAGCATCCTTAGCAGAGGGTCACTCTCTCCCTGTGCATTTGGAAAGGACAGGAGCACAACAGTCAGGAGGGAGGCATCGTAAGGCAAGCTGAGGGCGCCCAACAGGATCTTCCTCCCAGCTGGTTTGTGCATTTATGCATGTCCGCACACAGCCTCCCCTCCTTTCCCCATGTTTTTCCCCCCTCCATGCACAGCAGCTGCCTCCCTGTAATCTCTCTGCTTTTTTTAGAGGAGGACAAATGATGGAAGGTGACTTGCACTTTTATTTCTAAAAGTCTTTCAGGATGGCACTTGAGAGGCAGAGTCCTTAAAAATCTTTGCAAACCGTCTGTTGCTTAGGCTACCCAAATGGCCAGATTCCATCCACACCACCCTTTCATTCGCTTAAAAAGGAAAAAAGATGGAAGGCATAACATGTTGAGGAAGAGAAAGCAGGTGTGCGTACAGAGATCCCTAGAGCAAGACTCTATATACCTCTTTGCTCCCCCATCCAGGCCTTCTTTGGGAAGGCAACAGGGTGCAGCTATGCAGTGGTGTCACGGCCCCTGCAGGGAAAGATTGTCGGCGAGCATTGGGTTTCATTCAGCGCCATGGGCGGACCACTCCCTCCAGAGCAGTTTACAGCTATCCACCTCTGATTTTGCCAATCCAAATGTCTGCCTTTTTTTAAAAAAAAAAATCCTATTCTCTTTCTTTTCCTTTTTGACTCCCAATTTGTACAGAAATCCATCATCATCATCATCATCATCATCATCATCATCACCACCATCATCATGCAATTGTTCCCTGTTCAGGTAAATTTACCATATAATTAGTACATCCATGCAGCCAGTGAACTCAGAAAGCTGAAAGCAAGAAAAGACAATGATGCTGAGCTACTTGGGTACAGCTTTGCAGGCAAGCCTCCCCCCCACCTCAGAAAAAGAAGAAGGGTGAATTGCACCCATCCTTGCAAAAAGTTCCATTCAAGGATACAGCTGCAGAGAAAGCAAAAGGAAACCCTCCTTTGGTTTACCTGAAACGGTGCTGGCCATGATGGTGAGGTGGGCGGTGGAGAGGATGCTGCAAAACGCAGAGGCAGAGAGGCAGAAGGCTGGCTTTGCTGCCGAAGTGCTGCAATGCTGTGGAAGAGAGGAAGAGGTCTGACTCAGCTCTAGGGGCTGTGGCTCTCCAAGAAGGGAGGAGAGAAAGGGAGAGGGGAAGCGCGTGCAAGGGGCGGGGGGG